ATATTTATCATTTAGACAATAGAAAAATTACCATAGACCCCAAAGAAAATTAAATATAAAAATTTGACTTGAAAATATAAATTGTTAAATTTATGAAAATTTGATTAGTAATTGTAAAATATTTTTAGGCCTATTTATATTTAATTTTCTTATCAAAAGCTTGCGAGTAATTTTTTCGAGATTAATCTAAATGGGGCCATGAGGGGATATTCTACAGAACCAATAAAGAGGTGATATGGTTCATGTTTAAAAACGCCACAGCTCAACACTAGTGGATGATATTATTGCTACTAACGGTTTGACTAAATAACAAAAACAATAACAGGAAGAAACATGATTCTGTCTCCAGATTTGGCAACACGGCTTCAGCCTAGCATCTAAAAGGAGGGCGAACACAGTTCCTCGCCGTTTTGACCTGCGCAGAGACCCCACAGAACGAAACATCAACCTAGTTGGGCAAACTGCTTCCAGCGAATAGCTCCAAACTTTTGACTCTCAGTGTCCGAACTTAACTGCTACTCTCGCACATCCCGTGACCAAATATTACTCTCCATAACTCAAATTGCAACCCACAATGAGTCCACGCCACAATCTTCGACTTCCCACTCATTTTGCGGGATTCCCAAGGTTCCTGCTATGCCTTTCCTGCAGAAGTTTGTTCCGCTAACAGCAACCTTGTGATGCTTAGCAAATGACTCCATATTCTGTTGGAAATCACCCTCCAAAGGTCTAGGTGGTCTAGTTTTCAACCCTCAGAAGACCGTGCATATTAAAGAAGACAAACTATACAATGATGAGGGCGGTCTTTCCCTTCATTCAAAGCTTCATTCTTATTACCTATAGGTTACCTAACCACCAATTCCTGCAACGCTAACACAACATTTCGCAAGACACAAGTCAACAAAGTGAAGCTCAACTTCAATCATTTTCTATGTCACTTAACGAAAAAGCTTGATATGCTGGTCAATGGTTATCAACCACCATTGACAAATCGATAAAACTAGGTAGAGAGCATTGAACAATGGGGGCCAAAAAATTAAACGAGGCAGCAGTCACGATATTGTTAGACTGAGAAGCCAAAATCAGTAATCAAGTTCCAAAATATACATATCAACGACCCCCTCGCTTTAAATGTTCTCGGATAAACCTTTCTGCATGAGACGGGTATTTATTTCTAATATACTCACGAAGGCACTTCTGGTACGAGAAGTCGATCCAGCCACCGTCAGTTCTTACAACAAAAAGACATCTTGAGCATCTAAACTGGGGATGACGATCGACCTGCAACACAAGAAGTCAAATAATCTGCAAAAATCTAGAGCAGTTTACAAACAATAATAATTGAAAGATAAAGAAATAGCCAATAATATCCTTAAATTATAGCAATGTATTACAGTGCATGTTTGGAAACCAATTGGTCCACATTTTGACCACAGCAATATGAAAGTAAATTGTCTCAAAAATTTCAGATATCTGTTTTCAACAGGTTTCCAAACATAGCCTCAGGAAGAGCAAGCTCCCGTTTTGCGCATTTTGTTTCCCCTCCAGATGGACCTAGTAACCCAACAAAGTAGTGCAGACAGACCCAAACCAACAGCAATCCAATCCATAATTGAGTCAGAGTTTTGACAGCCAAACAGGTTGAACTAGAAATTAGCGCTGTGTCATTGAGACGCAAACCATTCTTCTGAAGCTAAGGTCAAATAACGTGATAGTTTTGTACTTTCTATCACAATATAAATTCTTCTAGACAGACAAGACAAATGCAACAAGAAACATCTTATTCTACCAAAAAAGAATAGGAGACAAAGTATTTCTAGATTTTATCGTCATTAGAAACAGAGGCAAGCACTCCGTCGGTCAGCGCCACAGTAGCAGAGGATATCCTCAGCTTTAACATGCTATGGCTCAAAACAGCATATAAATATATCATTTTGGAATGAACTAGAACAGATGTGGCACAAGTACCATTCTAGGATGAATGGATGGGGAAGAAACACACAAACTTGTGGTGTTAAATATAATTTACAATTGAATAATTTGTTCTGGGAGAAAAGCAATTCAAAAATTTAAATTCATATGAAAGATAGCAGTGCTGATCCTGCGGTTATTCCTTTACAAGCAGTTCACACATCATGGTATGTCACTTTCTATGGGCAACAATCGCAACTTAGAAGTTGCAAAGACAAAACTTAATGAAGAAAACGATAGCATTACACTACCATGACAACAGGAAATTGCATCGCCGTCATGACATGTAGATGTGCAAATAGAATTGTACGTATCATACCATAATTGACTCAAGACCGCATCCAATCTTGTCTTCAGAACGTGGATGGTAAGCAAGAAGCTTCTCTACCACAACTTTCTCATCCTCAGCTGTCAATTGCTCTCCATCCATGTACCTAGTGTAGAAAATCAAAGACGTTAAGAAGATAATTTTTTAAGGTTAAAAAAACTGTGGAAGGCATACTGGTCAATATTCCAAAAATGCAGCACGTATAAATGTGAGCAACTGATTGAGATATAGAATTTATCACAGCAAATTTGTACATTGTGCAAGGAAACTCGCAGGCAAGCAAGCACTGCTTTCAGCAGTTATTTTACAGCATTTGATGCTTTAACAGCAACGCTATGCTTGTCTATCTACTTATTTATCAGATCTTTTGCTGATACTCGCAGAGCCATGATTTTGCTCATCACGTCTTCAAATATGCTTCAGTTCAGTTTACTCACACAATAAGGTGCACAGTAATTTTATCACTGCATATGTTAAATCTCCATCATTCAACCAAGAATTCTCAGAGGAAAATGATACTCTAATGTTTAGTTTCCTGCCAAGGAGCCAATATAGTCTCATAAGGAATTTCCAAGAAGAGAATATGATATTTTGGATTTTGCGCCAGTAGAATTATGAGGTTTTCAAAAAAAGAAAAATCAAAAAGTGGAGACAAGGGGAGAAACAATAGAGGGCAACCAATAATGCACTGGTTTATTACTTCACTGCAACAACATGTATGAAAAGATGTTGATAACTGCTTTTGTATCATGCTCATGTGATCAGAATAGTAATTACTTTCCGTTGAATTGCAGATTAATGCATGTATCCTGTGATGTAAAAAAATATAAAAGACCGTTAGTTAGTTAGTTATAGCTGTTAGTATTTTGTTTCTGTTATGATTATTTGTTATTTGTTTCCTAAGACTAGCTGTTAGAAGAGCAGGGAAATACAATATTAATCGAAGTCCTTACAACATTTGTACCTGTTGATTGATCAACAGTGAAGTGTTATTCAGTTTCTCTTATCCTCTTTGACTCGCTCTCTTTCTCTCGTCTCTCCTCTATCTTTCCTCTTCTTTCTCAAATTCCATAACATATTCATAATCCTAGAACTAAGGAGTGTCACATAGTGTAAATAGAGATATACTTAAAAGAAAAATTCACCTAACAACAGCGAGAATCGGTTTTGTTTTCTTCTGCTCACCTTTTGAACGATGGAGTGACTGAAATTATAACTCTATGCTGATCGCTGTGTATGTAAGTAAATCGCAACAAGTATGCAGCAAAGTTTGAACTGATAAAGAGAGGCCTGGGTGTGGAACTTAAAAGGTTTGAAAGCAGCATCAAGTCCAAGGCAGATCCTAGATTCTAGTAGCCGCTGAAGTTCCAAGAAGAATAATTCCTTGCACTGTAATCAAACAACTTTAACTCATAATAATCCAATGATCACAAAGACTTCCTTTTGTTACCTGAATTATATCTCAAAAGTTTTATCAATTTGTATCTTAACTGAGAAGACTATGTTTTTCTTTTCATACATTCCACGTAGTGTTTTTGTGCAAACAACAACTAGCCTGCAGCCAAGACATCATTCAAGATATCATACAGATAATGCATTCCTCTAAAAGTTAGTCATACGCTAACTCTGTACTTCATAATCCGCTGGTTCAATCTGGTTCTTCAAGTAAATTAGTGATGCAAGAGATATATGCCTATTGGTCAGAAGGAAGATGTGACGCATAAAATCCCACTGCATTGGTACAAAAAACAGTCTTTAAAATCTTTTTTAACGTCTGCTGTTATTGTAGGAAATCATTGTCATCTCACCACTTGCTTGGAAACGAGCGTCTGTATTGTTATGGGTATTCCAAGCAGCCACCGAACAGAAACTTTGTCCTCTACTAGCTAGCAGACTCGAGTCAGAGGAGCATTATGTTCAAGCACAGAAACAGCGGTTATCAAGGAAACTGAATGACACTTGAGTTTAGGCGAGAGAACCCAAGACCCAGACTTGCAAGCAAGGATAAGAAACTTAAACTATCTCGACGAAGAAGTTGAAGTACTTAGTCTGTTAGTCCCTATCTTTTTATCCATTACAAAGATGAAGACATAAGATGACCTCCATCATATGCATTGTCGTTCGGTAATAGATTATAGCCCGTTTTGTTTACATATATGAGTATTCAACGATGTGCTGAGGATTCTTAGCGACAATAGAACGAACAGATAGAGCACAAGAAGAAGTAAAGAATTTAAGATAAGGAATTTTTCTTTTGTCTTCTTCTTCTTCTTCTTTTTTTCTTTTTTTCTTTTTTTGCGGAGGAGGTTGCTGACCTTCGCGAGTGGAGGATATCCTTTGTTAGCCTAACAATTGGTTCAATGTCCTTGAGGATCTCTTTTTCTTTATCCTTCCATTTCCGATAATCGGGGTCGTCCGACCTAGGTTGAGTTGCAAGGTCCTTAGCTCTCAGCAGCTTGGAGATTTGAGCAGCATAGCTAGCTTTCTCATCTGCTCGTCCAGGCTCCCAGTTGGTGGGGGCACAGCACAATATGCGGTGAGGCGTCTCAGTCACAGCGATTCCCGCTACGAAACGCCGGTAGCTGTGGAGCCGAGAGTAAGGAAATAGAGCGTCCCGAAGAAGCAGAGGACCAGCCATTTGAGGTCGAGCATAACAGGCGAAGGTGATAGAGAAATTCCGAGCATGATGTCGTATGAAACTCCATCCAATAAAATCAGTCCAGCTCAGGTAAAATAGATTCTCTTTATTGTTTAATGTTTTAAGCTGAAGTGGACTAATCTTATTGGACAGAGTACTTCTCCGAAGCTTTTTGTTTTTGGGTAAGAGAGAAGGCTTAAAGCCAACAAACCAATTGCATTACCGCAATCTACTTCCCACTTTATCAGCATAGATAAGATCCTCCAGATGCTGTGGGCAGGTGTCGAAAAGATGCGACTCAGAGATTCTGTTTTTGCCCGTGCATCAGCCAAAGCATTGCAACTCCTGGGAACAAATTGAAGCTTTACCTCCCAATGACAACGAAGCATGCCTTTGATCCTTAGAAAAACCAAGCTACATTTGGCTTTTTCATGAGTACAAATCAACCAATTGCTTTGCATCAGATTCTACAATAACATTCCTAAAGCCGAAGTCCCAAGCCGAACATAATCCCTTAAATAAAGCCCATTCCTCGGCCTCCATAGTATTACATAGGCCGATTTCATGACAAAAGCCAGCGATCCAGTTTCCATTGCAAGCTCTCAAGGTTCCTCCACAACCAGCTTTTCCAGTTAGAGTAAACATAGCACCAACCAACGGGAGTGAGGTCTCGAATTCGATTCCTCATGGATATAGAAAACCCCCGCTAGTAGACTCACCCACCATACCAGGTGCGCGACGCGGGTCGGATCCGAACGTTGTCAGGGCAAAGCTCTGGTGAACCGGGTGAGGAACCCAAAAAAAAAAAAAACATAGCACCATCTACGTTCAGTTTCACCCAATTAATGGGAGGCGGTTGCCATTTCAAAGCAGCAGAACAATTTTCACTATCAAGATTTTTCTCGTCTATAGGTTCCAGGACAAAATTCTGCCAAGTTCGACAACTAATACCAACAGGACAAATTGGTTCCACAAAAATAGAGTCAAACACAAACTTATTCCTCCATAACTAGAGTTTCAAATGGAGACTCCCCAGGCAAATTTCCAATCATCATTGAAGTCCTTGGCTATATTGTCTTTCAGATTCATAGTCATCCAATCCAGTAAAGTTGCAGAAAAGAACTGGGCAACATACTTGGATTTTATGAGACCAAGGGGGTGTTTGGATAGAAACCAAACCATGGTTTCAGAAGTGCTTTTACGGATTACGAAGTAAATATGTGGAGGAGATTACCTCGTTTTGCGGAAAAGTGCTTCTAAAACCATGGTTTTGGGTTTCACAAACACTCTCCAAGCCGAAAACTACTTGCATAAGAGCAATCTCGTAAGATGTGTAATATTGATTCCAATTCAGAGTTGCAATATCCACAAATGGCAGACGTTTGAAACCATTCATTAGTAGGGAGTCTATTAAGCGCAACTCTCCACATAAAAACTCTGATTCTTTCAGCACCTCCCCATTTCCAAATAGTTTTAAAAATTGGATTATGCCGCAGTTGGTGACGAACTGATCAGCCTGAGCAACGTGTGAAGCCCAACTTAGAATAATATCGAACGCCCCATTGTGATTTGTGGATGCCTAATAATTTCTCCGAAGCTGATGAAGATCTAACCGTACAAACCCAGTTTCCTTGTGACCAAAAAAGCCCAGTTTTCTTAAAATGATACAAACGGCCTATTTGTTAAATAAAAGCCCAGTGGAGTATCCTATTATGTAGACCTTGCATAGTTGCCTTTTTTTTTTACCTGAGACCTCGCATGCCTGTTGGTCCTGACTTTGAGCCTGCTAGATAAGGTCCTTTTTTTTTTTTTGCTAAAGTATAGGTATCCTCTTATTAAAAGCAATCTTATTCGAGACAATATCAGACAGTAAATGTGGTCACCTCTCCCAGTAAGAATTCGAACATTGATTAGTCAAGTTGTGAAGGACTAGTCCCTTCCGCTAAACCTAACCCCTATTAGTACCTTCTAGATAAGATAAAAGTATAAAACAAACACATTTGCCCCCGTAAACATTCTCGGGTCAAAATACTGAGGGGGGGGGGATGCAAGCTTCTCGTATAAATTATCCCAAAAACATTAACAGGACAGTTAGCGTAATAATTTGTTAGGGGATGCTAAGACAAAATATATTTAGATGGCAACGCCTTTGTTTTTAATGAATCTTGATATTTTCAGATCAGCCACATGGTTACTCATTCCGAAAACTGGTCTTTATCATACAAAGACAGCAAGTTTAGGTTTTGTTTTTTAAAAGTACTTTTATAAAATTGAGATAAAATTTATTTTATATACTTATTTCGTATATCATAAAATTATTTTTAAAATTATAATTTGGTTTTTACCAAAAACATCTTGCCTGGCATGGTTAAATGTAGCGTGGACCGTGGAGGCTTTGGACTATTAGTGTTTGCACCTCTCCATTGACCGCAATCTTATTCTTTTTTTAATAAAGTGTGTAATAAGGGAGACGCAACCCCTGCTTCAAGTGTTCTTACTGTCGTCCCAAGGACCCTCTCATTTCTTAGCGTTTTGTTGTTGATTGGATGAATGGTGAAAAATTATTGCCGTCGTGCAGATAATCTCCCAAAATAGTGGCATTAATGTGTTTTCCCTTTCGTACTTATAGACCTTTCACTTCTAATTCTAAGAATAAAAATATAGTATTACCTTCCGTCGTTATATAATGGATTTGTAAAAATTAAAAAAATCAGTTAAATTAATTATTTATAATAAAAAAGTAATACATTCTATGAGATACTATTGTTAATTATGTGGATTAGAAAGAAATATTTTAACATGTGTAATTATAATGTGGATTATTTTAAAAAAAATAAATATAGAATACAGAGTGAATTTGAATCTTATATTTAAAATCAAATTAAATTTTTAGTTAGTTATCATATTTAATATAGAAGCTAAGAATATAGTAGTATATAAATTTGTCATTGGCTGATCCTGTGGCTGAGACATTTAGATAATAACATACTTACATTCAAGTATCTCATATTAATGGGCTGTGAGCTGAAAATCTTCCGTGACACCAAAGCCACCTGACAATCTCACCATTCTATAACTGGTTTATATTAATCTTATTTAAAAAATGTAAAATAAAACAACTTTATTTCCAATTTTTATCACGAATGTTTCATATTTTCACTTGACAACTATTTGATATTAACTAAATTTATTATTCCCAACATAACGTGTCAATCTTAACTCGAATTCCTAAACACCCCCCCCCAAAACAATCCTCCATATTTCCGGCCTTATTTGCATATTATTTCTCACCTTGATGCTGAGTGAATATGTGAAATCGGGCATTAAATGAAAAAAGTAAAAGAATAAATGCGTATGTATTTAAATCATAGACACTGATGACTATTGTCCGGCCATAATGAGCAGGCCTGCCATTCGGAGTTCGCTTTGGTTAGGAGGAGACGGGATTTGGGTAATGATCGCGTTCCAAACTCTCACGGTAGTATAAATTTTTTTTTAAAAAAGAAAGTTAATTTATTAGTGGAGCAGAAAGAAGGCGATGAATGCATCCTGATCTAATATTTAAATGCAGACGCATGTTCATTACTGTATTATTTTTCCTCACAGCTCCACAAGTCGACAGCACAGGTTGAAGAAAGGCAATTCCCATGGATTGTACCTTACTCCTTATAGGCTCCACTTGCACCCATCTCAATTTGTTGATTACTAGTTTGGACCCAACCAGCCTTTCTTTCAATTAAAAAGAACGAAGATAATCAATTGATCAGGTTTCAAGTTTCAATCCTGATTCTTGAATATTCAAATCCAATCCTCACCCTCAAATCTTTATTTTATTTTATTATACTATTTTTTGGTTCCTAATGTTAGAGCTAATTGATTAATTTGAATAAATTAATAAAACCAGTTAAATTAGTTATTTGTAATAAATAGGTATTTTTTTTTTCTAAAATATCATTTTAATCAATATAACCTTAAAAAAATAAATAAATATAAAAGACAAGATAAATTGGGATTTTATGAAGGAGTGGAGGTAGTATTTCTTTTACAGGGAGGCCAACATCACAATTAAAGTGACAAATCACTTGCAACTGAGAGATAACCCATTATATGGCATCTTATTATATTATCTTAAAAGGTGTTTGGATAGAATTCAAATCATAATTTTAAAAGTGTTTTTACGATATACGAAGTAAATACGTAGAGGAATTTGTTTCATTTTGTGAAAAATTTCTTTTTAAAAGCACTTTTTTTTAGTGCCAAACACCACCTTAATCATATTCATCCACCATCTTTTGATCCAAATCTTTATTATAGATTATAAAGAGTGGGATGATGATAATACACAGTTCTTTGGCTTTTGACCTGATATTTATCTCCACGTCACAAGAGTCCATGCTCGCACCACACGGGGTTGGTCGCCGGGGGCTCCATTTTAAATACCTGGAGTTTAATGGGCGTGCAGAAAAGTCCGAATGAAATCTGATTTCATGTCCGTCTCTGTGGTCAAAGCGGCAAATACAATTCCAACGTCGGAGAAGTCTGACTAGCTCAGAGAGTGGTTCTCTCTTCTCACCTTTGGAAGGTGCAAGGCAGGGTAAGTGTGGGAGCATCTCGTTGGTATAAACACTCAAGTTTGTCATCCTAACCCACCAATTTCAAGTATCTCCGTGAATGGGCCAGGCTGCTTCCGCGGCCGCAATCACTTGCCGTCGCCAAACCAGTCACAGCCACTGCTCCGCGTCAAAATCCAGATCACCACCGTTCATTTCTCCGATGCTTTTCACTGAAAGCCACGAGTCCCCAAATGAGGTCATCCATGCAGTGCCTGATCACATCTCTGAGCTTCCCGACGAGTGTCTGGCTTGCATTTTCCAGTCATTAAGCTCCGCCGACCGTAACCGCTGCTCCCTCGTGTGCCGGCGTTGGCTTCGGGTCGAGGGACAGAGCCGTCACCGTCTCTCTCTTAACTCTCAATCAGATCTTCTCCCGGTTATCCCCTCTCTCTTCTCACGTTTTGATTCGGTCACGAAGCTCGCTTTGAAATGCGACCGTAGATCCGTTAGCATCGGGGACGAAGCGCTCGTTCTTATCTCTCAGCGATGCCCTAATCTGACTCGCTTGAAACTCCGTGCTTGCCGTGAACTTACGGATGCTGGCATGGAGATCTTTGCTAAGAATTGCAAGGGTTTGAAGAAACTTTCCTGTGGATCTTGCACCTTTGGAGCCCCAGGGATGAATGCGGTGCTCGATCATTGCGCCTCTATAGAAGATCTATCTGTCAAGCGTCTCCGGGGAACTACCGATATAGCATCGGTGGAGACTATTGGACCTGGAGTTGCAGCATCATCTCTCAAAAATATTTGTTTAAAAGAGCTATATAATGGACAATGTTTTGGGCCACTTATTCTTGGCTCGAAGAATTTAAGGACCCTGAAGATTTTCAGGTGCTCTGGCGATTGGGATAGACTTTTTCAACTCCTAGCGGCAGATCGAGTACCAAATATAGTCGAAGTCCATCTTGAGAGGCTCCAGACAAGCGATGTCGGCTTAGAGGCAATCTCGAATTGCTCGAGTCTGGAAGTTTTGCATCTTGTCAAGACTCCAGAGTGCACAGATTTAGGGCTTATCGCAATTGCAGAACGATGTAAGCTCTTACGGAAACTTCATATTGACGGGTGGAAGACGAATCGTATAGGTGATGAAGGTCTAATAGCAGTCGCTAAATACTGCCCATGTCTTCAGGAATTGGTCCTTATTGGTGTTAATCCCACTAATGCGAGTTTGGAAATGTTGGCATCCAATTGCCAGAATCTGGAGCGGTTGGCGCTATGTGGAACTGAAACTGTTGGTGATCTTGAAATATCGTGCATTGCAGCCAAATGCACTGCATTGAAGAAACTCTGTATTAAGAGCTGTCCTGTGTCTGACCATGGTTTGGAGGCACTCGCATCTGGTTGCCCGAATTTGCTGAAAGTAAAGGTTAAGAAGTGCAAGGGCGTGACCTCTGAAGGTGTGAATTGGCTGAGGTTATGTAGGGGGTCGCTCGCTGTAAATTTAGATGCTGTTGAAGCAGAACATCAGGGCGCTGGTGCTAGTGATGGTGGCGCTCAGGAAAATGGCCTAGAAACCCCACCAATCCCCAGCGAGGCCGCAGCCTCTGCTACCATTGCATCAAGCAGTACTGGTCGATCAAGTTCATTCAAGTCAAGGCTTGGACTTTTTTCTGGGAAAAGCTATGTCGTCTGCACTTTGAGAAGATTGTCTGGGGGTAGTCGTAGTTCCCGGCATAGTTAGACTGAGGGAATTTTAGTCACCAAAGTGATGGGCAATTCAAGCCATTGACCATTCATATTATTTGGTGATGCTATCACTTGATTCTTTCTCGCGCTTGTATTTATAGCTAAAGTTTCTTGTGTGTTGCGTTTTTGCTTTTGGAGATGAATCTTCTTTAGTTAAATTGGCAAAGTCAATTTATTTCTGTTGTTTTTCTCCCAAATTATTATTGCCGTTGGGTTAGTTAGCTGTTGATCTTACCTCTTCTCAGACTTGTCCGTATCATCATCCAATTGATTCCTAGTGCACATAGTTTTGTAAACTGCAGGCTGTCAGGGTTTCAGGGATTATGAATTTATTTGTTCTGTGATGACGTGTGTATGAAACTTCCAATGGTTTTGTTAGATCTTTGTCTTTGATAGATAACTGGAGGAAAGCACGACGCAAGCTTCTACTTTAGGCTTTGGCTTAGCAAAGGAAACAACTGAATTTCTCGTTTGATTCTAGCATGCATTCCTTAAGCTTCTCCTCTGATGTATAGGCGTACAGTCCCATTGCCGCAAAGTAGATTCGATGCGTTTGTGATCGGATATCTGGGGTTAAGGTGATCATGTTATCAAATAAGGCGAGTTCTCAGATTTACTGTATTGCTTATCACTTATCAGACCTGCTTTATGGCGGTTGCGGGTTTGCTTTTCTTGTACGAAGTGTGTCTCTGTCCTGTGATGCTGCCTAATTCAACATACATGCGGAAATAACACTTCGATTCTATTTCGTTTTAGTTGGTTGGATGCATGTGTGTTGATGGCTTGATTCTATTTTTTTAAATAGTTATCTTTCGTTTTTTTTGGCCATTATCATTTAAAACTAGATAACTATCATGTTATTCCTGTGTTATTTTAGCAGTTCCCATAGGAGCTTTTCAAGTCACGGTATGACATTATGTAATGGCTCATTACTGGTTTGCCCCTAAGAAGTAGTTCTTGTTCGCACTTGGAGGTCGTTAGAGTTGAGCCCTTTGTGCGTATGCGTGACAGGACATTGAGTTTTCATATGAGTTCGAGTGTTTGATCATCTTCAGCAGAGATTAGGCTAGCACACGACATTATCTGGGAAAAGGGAATTACGACATTATCATATATAGCATCGCTAGGATATATTGAATGTGGCTCGTTTGTATTCTCTCTCTCTCCCTCCCTCCCTCCCTCTCTCTCGCCTTGATCCGTAGTTTGTATGATTCATGATAATTAACTATTGCGTCCATCCGTATCAGCCTTGACATTCATTCATCTAACTCAAATTGCTTCATTTAGTAAATCTCGTTGATCATCTCAGCTGAACAATGCTAAATTATCTCATAATTAGATAGAAATGAAGGAAAAAGAATTAGCAATGCAACGAAAAGGGAGTAAAAAAGTAATAATAAAATAAATCATCAAAAGCGAGAATTGCGTCCCAAGCCGCGGGAGCATTATTGTTTTTCTGGCCGAAAATTATCTATTATCTCCAATCAAGTGAAATCTGAATCGTTTAATGTCAAGAAGGTAAGGACTAAAGCCATGGTTAAGAAGGTGAGGGAAGCGAAAAGCGAGCTATAGCACGTCACAAGTGCCTGATCCACAACGTATAGAGAACGAATATTCAATGGTTAAGACATTACTTTAGGGCAAGCGAAAAAGATAGTATGTACGTAGATAGCTGCGAATGCATCATGTGAATATGAAATTCATTCCACCATTGTGGCATTGTCAAATGATAAACGTAATCAGCCTACAGAAGCTGGAAACCTTACAATAATCGTGTTCTTGCCTTCAAGGCTCGAATACAATAACACGTAAATACAACCATATGTACAGAGCAAATGCTTGACTATAAAGTTTGCAGACCATTTATCTGATAAAGTTTCAAATGCAGCTATCAGTATATTTATGGGCATGCATCATAATGAAAAGATTATCAAACATGCTATCAGTCTACTTTGTCCGCCCTGGCTTCGTCATACACCATTCACTTAAGCACTGCTTACTTTGTTCTTAGCCCCAAAAGCCCAGTGGGGTTTAGCTGGAGTGCGCTTCATAGCCTTCACTCCAAATGGACTGTTCTTGTTCTGTAGTGGACAAAAATAATTCAGTTAAGACGTTAGTGAGAAATCTTGACTTCCTAGCGAATATCTACATCCCTATTAGAGATGAATCGAGATTGTAAGATTACCATGAGACAAGTGCCTTCTTCAAGGTTGCAAATAGGATAGTCGTGAGGGCAGCAACTGGAGTGGTCTTCACAGCAGGTCGCAGCTTCAAGAGGACAACATCCCCAGGCAAAGCAATACTTTCCATATTCGTATACGCAGCAGCAAGTAGTGCTCTCAGCACAGCTGTAATAACTATCGCAAACAGTTGGTGGCTTTACAGGTGAAGGGGGTGATGGTCCAGGGTTTGGGGGATTTGGGCCTTTTTTAATTGGGTAAGACGACTCCATCGCAATTCCACATTTTCCAGTGTTGCTTGTAGCCAGATTACGTTCCAATCTCACATACCCGTTCTCTCCCCAGCTCTTGCCCCATGAGTTTCTCACGATCCAATAGTCAACTCCATTTTCTGTACCATATCCCACAGCTGTGACACCGTGATCTAATGCTGTTCCACAATCTCCCGTGAAGACGCCCTGACAAGTTTGAGGTAAATGGAACATATATTAAGAAAGCTCAGGCAATCATTCGACAGCAATTAATCCATTAAAAAAAAAACTTCAAATCGTACAACTGCTGATAGATAACTGATGACTTTGTGCCTTGGAAAATGCATAAATAGAAATAATAGCTGGGGTCTGGGGAGCAGACGCCAATATCTATTGCATGCACTTAACTACTCAAGTTATTACTCCCCTCCGTTTCTTATTATAAGAGACATTTGATGCTTATGGCATGTTTCTATATATAAGAGACACTTAAAAGTTGTCTTTACTTTTTTGTGTTGATTTCCTATTTTACCTATATTTATTGTCTCCAATTCACACTCTCTCTCCCTCCCACTTCTCTTTTTTTCAATAATTTAATTGTTCTCTCTCATGCTCTCTCCTTATTAATGAGGGTAATTTTGGAAAAAAAGATTATATTTTTTACATATTGATTGTTCTTAACTAATTTTAACTGCTTTTTTTATCAACGTAATTCGGTTATTCGTCTCTTATAATAAAGAACGGAGGGAGTAACGTTTAACGCATTGCGGGTGTTTCACCTATCTGTTCCTGTCTACTCATTGTATGCTCAATAGGTGGATAAGAAAATGAGTGAGAGACTTACGGATACATATAACTGGAATTCCCTGCCACCACCTTCAATGGCAACGCTCACAGGCTGATTTGCGACGGCCTTTTGCAATGCCCTCTCGTCATTGACAGGAACGTCCTCGTAGTCATCAATTGTGACGACTTTAGCATTTTTCTGTAGACAAGACAGATGAAAATTTGTTATTAGAGCATAAACTATTTCCCGCAAGCTTAATTCAAGTAAAGCCAAGACTCACCCTGTATGTGTCACATCTACCATTAACAGCACGATAGGGGTAATCTTCTTCGGTGTCAATACCGCCGTTGTTGATGATGAACTCAAAACCGTAGTCCATGAGTCCACCGTTGCATCCTTCGTTATATGATGTATCGCAGTCGACCAGCTCTTGCTCTGATAGTGAAATTAAATCTCCAGTCACTATCTTGTTAATTCCTTCCACGGCAGCGACAGTTGAAAAGGCCCAGCAGCTCCCTTCATGAAACAAATGAATCGGATGAGTTAATGAAAACGAACATATCTGTAGAGTTGGCTATTCTAATGAGATTCATAAGCCATTCAATTGCCAGGAAATCTTTTAATAATGTTTCCTCCTTTTTACAGAGGGTAAAAACAAAAAACAAAAAGACAATTGCTTTATTATTTTTGCAGCAATAGAAAACGTTTTCTGATTCTCAGAAGGGATCATTACTGTAGATAATCCTACGAAAAGTAGTACTTTTTGTTTTTTGTTTTTTCTTGGGGGGGGGGGGGGGAAGCCTGAGTTGTGTAGCAGCTTAAAATTTACAAGGCTGAGAGGACTCTGCTCGTGCCGAAAATGATAAGGTACGAACTAGGAACTCAAGTTGAGGACAGCAGGGGAGGGATTTAGTAGTCTCTACACTCTGTTACGGGCGAAAATTATCCTATGCACCATATTTCTAAAACCAAAGTATTGAAACTGTTCTGTGGTGCCAAAAAAAAAAAAGTATTGAAACAGTTCTTATCATTTCATGCCGTGGAGTGAGAGTGCTTTTCTATTTTTTTCTCCCCCCCCCCCTCCATCACACGTTTCTAGCAGTGTTATTAACTTTTCTCCTTTTCTTAAAAAAAATCGTTCTGGTTGTAAAAATATATTCGCCAAAAATACACACGAAAAAGAAAATACTCGGACAATTTAGACCCATCGATTACAAAGCCATAGCAACAGACAATATGTTGGCAAAAAGATCACACAGCCACACAAGGTGACACAAAATAAGCCCATCAATCACAAAACTGTAGCTTGCTCATAAAACAGTAGAATGGAGTTAGGAGAGCTGATGCTCAATTTGATGCAGCAACACTGATATCAAATATCAAATAATTATGCTAAAAATTGTTCAAAAGGTGAAAACTTAAATTTCTAAATTACATACTAACTCGCCTTGAATATAAAAATTAGTTTGATTTTTAATTTAGCTTTAAATATAAAACCTCAAGTTAATTTACTCCTTATATTTATTTGTTTTTTTAAATAGTCCTTATAAAAATGCACATATTAAATATTTCATTAAATGACATTTAATTAGTAAAAATATTTGAATAAAAATAATATCTATTTATAACTATCTTATTAATTATCTTAATATATCAATTATTTTTTATATTAAGCAATACTCTAATAAAATCGTCACTCACGAGGCTGATTTTTCAAAGCATACCAGCTCAAAATTGAAGGGACAAAATTTTATTAAAATTAAAAAATTAAAAAGAAAAAAAGAAAAAAGAAGTGGGTAAGGCAGGGTACTGACCGCAGCTTCCTTGGTCCTTGACCTCGACTACGGCGCCTTCCTTCCTCCAATCAACGAAACCCGGTAATTTGTCACCGACACATGGAGCGTAACGGTTGCTCCTGGTCTTGGCAATCCTCCTCTTGTGATCAATCCTGGCTCCAAGATACTTGGCCCGGTACTCGTCGTTGGTCAGATCGGCGAACCGATTCAAACCCAGTTTGTAGGTCCGGCTCTCGGCGTTGCGCTCATCGATGAACCTGAGGTTGTCCTTGAAGATCTGAAACCTCTTCTCCTTCTCCCCCAGGCCGTTGTAGAGCTTGCCATGTTCCAACAGCCAGTGCTCGTACATGTCCCTGACCTCCTCATCGGTCCTCCAGTTTGAGCCGTCGGCACGAGTCCTATCGTAAGAGGTGATCGACATGTCCAAGGCGGACGACAAGGCGAAGATGGCGAACAAGAAGAGCATCACGGCAGGAGAAGACGTCGACGAAGCCATCAGGGATGAGTTCGGGAGAGAAACTGCAGACCAAGGCGAAGAGGGGCTTGGAAACTAAAAGGGAGTATGTGGGGCGTTTTAAAGGCAAAAGTGGGGGCGCTGGGAATTGGATTCTACATTTAACTTCTAATCTAAAATATGACATTAAAAAATTTATACAAGGGCAAAGTAGGCAGGGAAAAAATATCGTCAGAAATGGACAAAGGGGATAAGATTTTGGGGAGTTGATCTTTCCTAGTTTGTTT